TCAACGCAATAATATCAACTGGATACATATACATATATCTTTGAATTCGATAACTGTTTTTTAAAAGACAAGTAAAAATTACTAGTAGCTGTGAATCTAAACTTAATGAATAGTGAGAGAGAAATTATATTATATAATTCTGATTGGAGAAATTAGCGATATCTATAAAAATGTGAATTGATTTAATTCTAATCACAGACGCTGTTATTAATGTTAATACACATTCTTTCTCTCTCTCATTCTCTTCACCTATCCATCTGCCTATCTATCCATTTATTTTTATCTCTTTCTACCTATCTGTCTGTACACCAGTTTATCAACGGATACGGACACACCACACACACACACACACACACACACACACACACACACACAACACACACACACACACACACACACACACACACACACACACACACACACACACACACCACACCTCAACTAACACAGAACTAGCCACAGTACCATTACAGTTGTTACCATTTCCCTAAAACTAGTCTCCACATTATGATATAAATTCCCGAAAACCTTTCACTGATCTATAAGGAACTGATGAACGAATCTGAACATTCTTCAGACATTTCGCACCGACGGCTGAACAAGACAAGGCTTTCTGGACACTTTTGAGAAATGTGGCTTGACCCTGGAATGTGGCTCTTATCTTCGGCGCGTTATGACTGCCTCTCTCTCTGTGTCTCTGTCTCTGTCTGTCTGTCTATTGTCCTCTCTGTCCTCCTGCCTTCTCTCCGTCTCTCTCTTTCTTCTTTCGTATCTTTTCTCTCTCTCTCTCTCTCTCCGCTCTTCTTCTCTCTCTCTCTCTTCTCTCTTCTCTCTCTCTCTCTCTCTCTCTCTCTCTCTCTTCTCTCTCTCTCTCTTTCTCTCTCTCTTTTCTCTCCTCCTCTCTCTCTCTCTCTCTCTCTCTCTCTCTCTCTCTCTCTCTCTCTCTCTCTCTCTCTCTCTCTCTCTCTCTCTCCTCACTCTCTCTCTCTCTCTCTCTCTTCTCCTCTCTCTCTGTCTCTCTCTTTCTCTCTCGTTCTTTCTCTTCTCTCTCTTCTCTCCTCTCTCTCCTCTCTCTCTCTCTCTCTCTCCTCTCTCTCTCTCTCTCTCTCTCTCTCTCTCTCTCTTCTCGCCCTTTCTTTCTTTAGCTATCTATATCTATCTCTATCTATCTCTATCTATATCTATTATTATTATCATTATTATATTAAGCTATATAATGAGCCACACTGATAAAATCGAGATTTATACCACCAAAGGTGTCAGTGCAGGTCAAGATACAGCTAAGAAAGAATGAATAAAAGAAAGTCATGTTAGCTGACGTTTTAAATTTATCAAGAGTCGAAGAAGTTACAATGAAGGTAATCTATCCCAAAGTCTACAAATAGCAGTAAAACAGCATCTAGAAAACTGACTTGTAGACGATCGACTTACATCAAATGTCATTGAATTGAGGGTCATAGAACTTCTGGTAATTCTTGCAGGTTGATAAAAAATCAGGTAAAAACTTATATAGAGGGGATGTGAATTATCGGTTACAATCTTGTTTACAATCTATCTATCTATCTATCTTTCTCTCTCTCTCTCTCTCTCTCTCTCTCTCCTTCTCTCTCTCTCCTCTCTCTCTCTCTCTCTCTCTCTCTCTCTCTCTCTCTCTCTCTCTCTCTCTCCCACACACACACACACACACACACACACAACCCTTTCTGGAATCTACCCTTGAAAGACTAAAAGGGAAGAGAGGGACTCGGAATTCCAAGACCAAGCTTCTCGAGAGAAATCATATTCTCTATATGATCAGTACGTTTATATCAATGTCAGATTCGTGAAATTAATCATTCTAATGTTAATGATGATTATTCAAAAACTTAGATATCGTCTACTGAAAGCGTGGAATAATCCCGTCTGCATTCCATTTCCTTATCATTAGAAAAACAAGACTAAAATAGATATAAAAAGCCATAATAGTCTGAAAATACTTGATCGATTGTCACGTATTGAAGTTATATTTTCTCAGAAGACTTCTTTGCAGAGATGACGATTCCTTTGTACAACAATTAATACGGAAGTTTTATTGATCTTTGGTAGTATTCTAAAATAGTTATTTACTCCCGGTGAGTTTCAAGTCATTTGTTTATTGTGTCAGTGCGTGTGTCTCTGTGTTTATCTGTGTGTCTGTGTGTGTGTTGTGTGTGTGTGTGTGTTGTGTGTGTGTGTGTGTGTGTGTGTGTGTGTGTGTGTGTGTGTTGTGTGTGTGTGTGTGTGTGTGTGTGTGTGTGTGTGTGTGTGTGTGTGTGTGTGTGTGGTGTGTGTGTGTGTGTGTGTGCGTGCGTGTGTGTGCCTGTGTGTGTGTGCCTATTGTATTCTCACATTCATACACAAATACACGTACATTCAACCAAGAAGTAGTTTGTTCATTTAGCCACAGATTTCCATCAAAAATCTAAATCAGGAAATACTCCATTACACCACATACAGTACAAATCTGCACCTCTCACCAAGAAAGCAAACCTTCTCTCTAGATTACATCACAAAATATCACACGAATCCCCAACAACACAACAATCATTTCCGAAAAAATAAAACAAAACAAGAATCAAAAACAGCACTGCAACGTCATCATCTTATTTAATCTCTCCCTCACGTTGTAATTAAGCAGTGAAGAGCGAAGACAGAACGCGAGAACGAGGCACAAAAGCCATTTTTCTTCTCAAAACCGGCATTCCTTTTCGTCCTTTCACTAGGCTGACGGTCACACTTTTGGGAAACGATTAGGATGTTCACGAAGGATGTTATTTCCTCTCCTATATCCTCTATAGAGTCTGTTAAACATCCTGATTGGTTGGGCAAAAACAATATATTTTTTTAGATACCATTTTGAGGCGACTTAGATTAGTAATTAACAAAAGTAATTATTCAAAATAGTTGTTAACAGAGAAATTATTTAATATCACTTGCTAAGATATTCTTAAAATGCTTTATCAGAATGCAGTAAAGGATATATTTCATCTGTGTGTAAAAAAAAAAAGCCAAAGAGGCATAAAATTCTGAATGAAAAAAGGCTGTTCCCCAACAGGATTATGAATGAAATACGCCACATTCTGCGGTAACGTTACAATCCAGAAAAAAAATACGAAAACCGGTTTTTTTTTTTTTAGTAGTAAAAGAGGAGCACCTTATAGGCCCTGAACTTTCCCTTGTTTCGCAGCCTTCAACACCGCATCCTAATCCTGCCTGCCTATGGTCCCCCCTCTCCCCCCCTCCCCTCCTTCTCGTCCCTTCCTCTCCCCTACTCCACCTTCCTTCTGTACCCCCCTCTTCTGCTTATCTTCCCCCTTCCCTCCTTCTCTTTCACTTACTTCTTCCATTGTCTCACCCCTTTCTCCCTCTCGCCATTTCCCTTCCTCCTGCCCACCTACTTTTCCCTCTTCCCTTCCTCCCTCTCCCTCTCTCCTTCCCTCCCTCTTCTTCCCTATCTCTCCTCCCTCCTCTCCCTCCCTCCCTCTCCCTTCCTCCTTCTCCACTTACCCCCCCCACACACACACAACACACATCGTTTCTTCTCTTATCTCTTATTTTATCTCCTCTCTTTCTTCCGGTCTCTGTTTCATATTATCTCCCGACACCTTCCATCTCCCCCTCTCTCCCTCCTCCCCCTCCCCTCGCACTTTGTTTATATTCTCCCTCTCTCCCCACTCCCCCCACCCCCTCTGCCTATCTCCTCTTCTTTTTCCCTCCCCTATTACCCTCCCTCCCCCTCCTCCTCTTTATCATATTAACCCCTACTACACACCCCCTCCTCCTCCCCTACACCTTCCACACCCCTCCTCCTCCCCTACACCGCCCATCTCCCCGACTTTCTCCCCACCACTCCCCCTCCCCCACTCGCTTCGTCAGTATATTATCCTTCTCCACCACTTCCTCTCCTCCCTCCCCCTCATCCCCTTACTACCCCCCCCTGCCATCCCCTACCCATCTCCTCTCCTCCTTTCTCTTTCCCACTCCCGCCCCTTTATCATATTATCCCTGCCCACCATTCCATCCTCCGCCCCTTCCCATCTCCCTTCTTCTCCACCCCACTTTCTCCCCATCAACCCCCACCCTCTCGCCCATCCGCCTCTTCATCATATTATCCCTCCACCCCCCTTCTATCCCCTCCACCCCCTCCTCCGCCCATCCCCCCACCCTCCTCCTACGCCCACCTCCCTCCCCCCTCCCCCCATCTCTCCCCTCCTCCGCCCATCTCCCCCCCCTCCTCCGCCCATCCCCCCCCCCTCCTCCTCCACCCATCTCCCTCCCCAACCCCTTTCTATCCCCCCACCCCTCCTCCGCCCATCCCCCCCTCTCCTCCTATGCCCCTCCCACTTTCTCCCACAATCCTAACCCTTTCTTGACCATCCTCGGCGCTGTAGGATTCCCAGGCGAGGCGCGAAGGTCACCCTAACCTAATTTCTGTCCTAAATCCAACGCCTATTTTTAGGCTTCAGAAACCTTGCAACTGGCAACTCTTCTTTTCTTTATTAGGCTTGAGGATATAATTAATTTTTTTTTCATTCTTTCTTTCTTTATATATTATCCTAATTTCTATCCTAAATCTAACGCCTTTTTGGGGGGCTTCAGAAACCACGCAACTAACTTTTTTTTCTATTAGGCTTAAAGATATCAGTATTTCTTATTCTTTCTTTATATATTACTTATTTGTCTCAGTTTATATCTTTTTTATACGTTTATACTGTTTTATCTATTCTATCATTATCTTGAATTTTGAAAAAGACAAAGAAAAACGGTTGGGTTGGAGCGCACGTTAAAATATTTGAATTCAAAAACCGTTTTTACCTAATTTGCTTCAATATTTCACATGTCAGTCTAGTAATGTTAGACAAGCTTCGCATATTTACTGGTGTATCTGCTAAACCCTTTATTATTTTCGATTATGTCTATTCTATTTTCAATAATCACTTTCTTTTATACATAATTAATTTATTATTACCTTTTATCAACAGAAATCAAATGACAAATCCAGACATGTGGAGTTTGTGACCTCGAAGCCCAGACTGCATCCACGAAGAGGAAGTGAAGGAAGTGAAGATAAAGAAGGAAGTGAAAGAAGGAGAAGAAGACTAAGGAAGTGAAAGAAGTCGAAATAAATCAAGGAAGTGAAGTGGAAGAAGGCGAGGAAGACTGAGTGAAGTGGAAAGAAGTCCAAAAAAAGAAAGGAAGTGAACGAAGCGAAGGAAGTGAAGTGAAAAAAGGCGAAGAAGACTGAAGGAAGTGAAAGAAAACCAAATAAACAAAGGAAGTGAAAGAATCGAAGGAAGTGAACTGAAAAAAACGAAGGAAGTAAACTGAAATAAAACGAAAGAAATAAACTAAAAGAACCGAAAGAACTGAAGTAAAAAAAAAAAAAAAAAAAAAAAAAAAAAAAAATCCAGAAGCAAACGAGGTAAAAGTTTTAAAAAATCGAGGCAAATCCACACCATCCACCATGACTTTCTCGTACCGCATGAGATGGATGCTGCCCGTGGCCCTCCTCAGGCTGCTGCTCGTGTCCGTGATCAAGAACGCCGGCAACCACACGTACGATTCCTCCCACAGGCTGGAGACTTACTACGATTTCATTGTTGGTGAGTCTTGGCCGCCCCGAGGAAGGGGGGGTGGAATGGCGCATCTTTTGGTATTGTATTTTTTTCGTGTTTTTTCAAGTATTTATTTTTTTTTTTTTTTTTTTTTGCCTTATTTTGATTTAGTCTAATTTTCTTGTTTACAGTGGGAAGAAAATATATAAAGGTTTCCATTTTTTTTTTTTTTTTTTTTTTTGCCACATTTTGATTTAATTTCATTTTTTTATAAATAATGGGAAGAAAAAGTCATATAATGGTTTCCAATAATCTTCTTTCTTTCTTTGTACCCCATTTTGAGTAATCTATTTTTACTTATTTACAATGGGAAATCTTTAAAAATGGTATTCTGTTTACTTGATAATAATACTTCCTCAGACATATTATAATTACACCTTATTTTAATCTCATTTTCTAATTCCGAATGTAAAACTACTCGAATATTTCCGAAACATAAGCCATAAATCACTCACTCGACTGAATATGTAAATACTAGAAAGCTATTGCCTTTAACGAGCCAACTACCTCGTGAATCTTAAAGTACGGGTAAAGAATTGCCTATTACGTGACTTGGTTGTCTATTAACGTTTATTTTTGTTGTGTAATGTTTGTAATGATGGATGTAGTAGATAAATGTCTTAGAATGTTTAGTCACTGAGTTGGCAACACTGGTACTGATGAGAAGTAGTATGCTGAAATATTTGCAAAAAAAACGAAGAATAGGTAGTGTCGGAGGTATGATTTTGCTCAGAAGCCGATACCACAGGATAGTATTATTAGCATCGATAGCATTAAAAGGATAAAAAAAGGCCGATTGGAATGACTGTAATGGTTCCGATCTCAGAAAAGGAAGAATTGGCAACCCAACCTCTTGTCAAGACTACTCCTATTCACCTTTGTTATGAAGTGATATCCAATACTTATGTTACATATGTGTTATATTTCCCAATCATATACAATATTTTTTTTTGTTAGCGTTGCTTTAAATTTACTGCAGTAAGCACCATTATATTTTTTTCTCGAAAAGAGACAATGAATCGGAGACCTCCATACTCCAAGGTGAGTTGCCAGTTGTTATTTTTTTCCCGAGACTGGGCGGAGCAAAGACAGTGAAAATGTGTTTTAAGATCAACTAATCTAGCGTATTCTAGGCCACAAAGACCGAGTAAGTTTCCACCTCAATTGAATTACATAAACTTTCGCTAGCAGCCGGTGAGGAATGCAAAGTGACAAATTATCCGACTTATGTGGAAATTATTGTTTCATTCTGATAAATATATATAACTTTGTATATACTATCACGGGACGCTTCCACCGGTTTTGCAATACTGCATGCGTTTCATCTGAATCTGTGCTTTGTGACACGTTATTTACATAACATTAACCTTCGACGTATTAAGGCACGTAATTAGCATATTAAAGAGCTGACTTGCAAAACTTGATTTAGTTCCATCATTCTTACCTTAAGAAAAAAAGAAAATAGATTAAAGTAGTCATAAAAAAACAATAAAAAAGTAAAATAAATGAAAATAGAGTCACTCAAAACAAATAAAAAAAATAAAATAGATTAAAGTAGTCACTCAAAACAAACCAAAAATATAAACTTTTTAATTCAGGGTCACAATCTAATTACTGTTACGTCTCCTGCATGTAAGTCCTTCCCTCTCACTGTGTCATAAGTTTCTTTTGTTCCTTCAATGGTATAAGTAACTGGGGCGAGGAGAAAGACATACATTTGTATGAACTACATAGAAATATACATTTTTAAAAGGTCGTTTTGTGTGCGTGGTGAGTGTAGAGTAAGGACTCGGTGAGAGAACAGAGGAAAATAGGCTGTTAGGTTGTCAGCATAAGGGTGATTATTCCTTGACCTCTATTATGATATTGCTTTCCGTATATTTAGAGGATATAGAAAGTCATCTAAAAAAAAGTACTGTAATAGTAACCTACGATTATTTCTCTGATAGGGAAATATAATCATAGCAAAAATAAACCTTACTAGAAGATGCAGATGTCTAGTTTCCAATCAGTCTGGTAAAGAGTTATAAGAAAAAATAGCTTAATAATTATGGTCTGTGGATTTTACGCTTCCTCGTCATCCATTATTCGGAAGGTGTACAAAATTATCACTCATTTTCGAATGCAGATCTTCACACTCATTTCAAGTGAATCAACAAGGAAGGGCAACTATCTGATAATAATAATAATAATACAAATAATAATAATGATAATACAAATGCTAATAATAATGATAATGATAATAATAATAATAATACGAATAATGCTAATAATAATAATAATATTAATGACTGTAATAATAAAATAATAATAATAATAATAATAATAAATAATAATAAATTATAATAATAATAATAATAATAATAATAATAACAATAATGATAATAATAAATAAACACATGAATAAATGAAGGAGTAGAAATTGATAAAAGACAGACCAGGCCTTTAGAAAGTGTCCTCTTCGCCTCATGCAACTTGCAACAGACACAGCAAGAGGATCCAGTCCCCCACATACATGTTACTTCTCAGCTAAATAACGGAATCCGATCGTCTTCTGAACAGATACGTATATTTCCCTTTGAATTAGATATATCTTAAATATCTTTTACATAATCTAATTTCCAGGAGAACCGAATTTAACGTAAAGAATCATTTTCGCAAATTTATTAAGATGGGAAAAGGCAGAGTGTGCAAAATCCTCTTCACAACAGGGAGAAAGTATCCACTTAGTGACTTAACTGTTTTTACTCGGCAGTTTTAACGACCCATTGTGGGCGGATGTTATCAGCCATAGGGGTTGTTATAACACGTACTTGAACTCCACACTGGCAATAGGGAGACACCTTTCATCGATTATCTATTACAGAATGGGTCCTTATTTAGATGTTGGCGATAATAGATTGCGTCGGGATCGGTGGAATTGGTGTTATGAAATAGATATCGGTTGGGTTCTTTTTGTTGTTGTTGTTGCTATACTCGTTATGTTCTGCTAAAGCGATTAAATCTTAGGTAATCGAGGATTTGTGAGTGGTTCATATCAGTACATACCTGAGCACGTGATTAAGCCATAGTGACATAATTATATCATTCCTTGAAGTTTATTGGGCGTTATATTCAAGGTGTTGTGCTTAGTATACGGTACACTAATAACCATTGATCTACCAGTCCATTCCTCACCGCATAAGAAATACCGAAACACCACGTAACACCACCCTAATGCCCCTTCACCCCCCCCCCCACCCCACCGTCCTGTAGGGTACAACGGTAGCGTTCTCATATTTGTAATCTTGTTGACCCGCGTTCAGTTCCCCACGCCACCTGTGGATGGCAACCCCGGCCATTCCTTACATACAGGAGCTAATTCAGAAGCAGATAAACAGCCTAATTAAGATAAACACAGATAAGATAAGCAGATAAGCACAGCCTAAGATAAACAGATAAGATAAGCATATTAAAACAGCCTAAGATAAACACAGATAAGATAAGCAGATAAGCACAGCCTAACTAGATAAACAGATAAGATAAACATATTAAACAGCCTAACTAAGATAGACACAGATAAGATAAGCAGATAAGCACAGCCTAAGATAAACAGATAAGATAAGCATATTAAAACAGCCTAAGATAAACACATAAGATAAGCACAGCCAACTAGATAAACAGATAAGATAAGCATATTAAAACAGCCTAAGATAAACAGATAAGATAAGCAGATAAGCACAGCTAAGATAAACAGATAAGATAAGCATATTAAAAAACAGCCTAACTAAGATAAACACAGATAAGATAAGCAGATAAGAACAGCCTAAGATAAGCAGATAAGATAACATATTAAAACAGCTTAAGATAAACACAGATAAGATAAGCAGATAAGCACAGCCTAACTAAGATAAACAGATAAGATAAGCATATTAAAACAGCCTAAGATAACAGATAAGATAAGCAATAAGCACAGCCTAAGATAAACAGATAAGATAAGATAGCAACTAAAAACAAGATAAGATAGCATATAAACACAGCCTACCAAGATAATCACAGATAAACACAGATAAGATAAGCAGATGAACACAGCCTAAGCTGATAACACAGCCTAACTAAGATAAACACAGATAATAAGCAGATAACACAGCCTACCTAAGATAAACAGATAAAAACAGACAATATAAGCAAATAAACACAACCTAACAACTAAGAATACCCATTGTAACAAATGGAACAAAACTAAATCATATTATTTATTCATCCTCCTCCAGTGGGCTCGGGGTCCGCGGGCGCCACTCTCGCCGCCAGGTTATCCGAGGTCACAGGATGGCGCATCCTTCTGCTGGAGGCGGGCGGGGAACCTCCTCCAGAGAGCCACGTGCCGGCGCTGTACCCGGCGCTGCTGCAGGGAGAAGCCGACTGGAATTTCGTCACCACAAGGCAGCGACACAGCCTCAGGGGGTTCACGGACAGGGTATGTTGGGGGGGATGTGTGCTTTTTGGATGGCCTTTTTTTTCTTCTTCTCTTTTCTTTTCTTTTCTTATTTCTTTCTTTCTCTCTTTCTGTCTTTCTTTCTCTTTTCTCTCTTCTCTTCGCTCTCTGCTCTTGCTCTTGTTCTCCCCCTCCCTCTCTCTCTATCTATCTATCTATCTGTCTGTCTGTCTGTCTCTCTCTCTCTGTCTCTCTCTCTCTCTCTCTCTCTCTCTTCTCTCTCTCTCTCTCTCTCTCTCTCTCTCTCTCTCTCTCTCTCTCTCTCTCTCTCTCTCTCTCTCCCCCTCTTCTCCCCTCTCTCTCCTCTCTCTCCCTCTCTCTCCCTCTCTCTCCCTCCTCTCTCTTCTCTCTCTCTCTCTCTCTCTCTCTCTCTCTCTCTCTCTCTCTCTCTCTCTCTCTCTCTCTCTCTCTCTCTCTCTGTTTGAATGTGCAATATCGCATAGTAGCAATTAAGGATTAATAGGGAAGGTTGTGATATGTATTGTTATAATTATCATTAATATTGTTATCATTATCATATTCAGTCATCATAATCACATACAGTCATCATCATCATTATCATGCAGTCATCATTCACATCATATTACCACATAGTCATCATCATTATCACATACATTACATATTACTATTCATATCAATATCACCCCCCCTACCCACCCCACCACCCTACCCACCCTACCCACCCCCCAACAACACCACCCCACTAAGAAAACCTCCCCACCCTCCCCCAGCGACCCCCTACGGGCGTGGCAAAGTGGTGGGCGGCAGTTCGACCATTAACTTCATGATGTACCTGAGAGGCAACCGGCGTGACTTCGATAACTGGGAGGCGATGGGGAATCCCGGGTGGAGCTACCGGGACGTCCTGCCTTACTTCATCAAGTCGGAGGATTACCGGGGGACGAGGCACGGGGCCACAGGTACGAAGTTTTTTTCTTGTTTTTTTTTCGTTTTTTTTTTTTTTTTTTTTTTTTTTTTACTTTTTCGCTTTTTTATTATGTACTATATTATATGTTATTTTATTTTCTCTCTCTTTTTTTCTTCTTTTTTTTCTTTTTTTACTTTTTCGTTTTTTTATGTACTATATTATATGTTATTTTATTTCTCTCTCTTTTTTCTTTTTTTTTTTTTTTTTAATCTGCCATTTCTTTGCTTTTCTCCGTTTTTCTCTGTGTTTGTCTTCATATTTTATTCTTGTTTTCCTCTTCTCATTCTTCCTCTTCTTCTGTTGATATTCTACTTAAAAATGGTCTATGTTAACGGTTTCTAGAGAATATATTCGTAAAATGTTTTCATCTGCTTAAAGTTTATCGTCAGAAATAGAGAAAAAATAAATCAAAATTTCCTCTAATTCTTCATATCTCGAAAACACTTCCTCAAAAGAACAAAGACCCGAATATAGTAAAACAAAACACATCTCCATAAGTGAAAATAAGGAAAAAAAGAGAAAAAATCCCAACCAGACGCAAGGTCAAGCGAGGTCACCAACGAAGCAACAGTGCAAGCGAGGTCACCAACGTATCAGCAGTGCCAAGCGAGGTCACCAACGTAGCAACAGTGCCAAGCGAGGTCACCAACGTAGCAACAGTGCCAAGCGAGGTCATAGCAACAGTGCCAAGCGAGGTCACACGTAGCAGAGGTCACCAGTAGCAGTGCCAAGCGAGGTCACCAACGTAGCAACAGTGCCAAGGAGGTCACAACGTAGCAACAGTGCAAGCGAGGTCACCAACGTAGCAACAGTGCCAAGCGAGGTCACCAACGTAGCAACAGTGCCAAGCGAGGTCACCAACGTAGCAACAGTGCCAAGCGAGGTCACCAACGTAGCAACAGTGCCAAGCGAGGTCACCAACGTAGCAACAGTGCCAAGCGAGGTCACCACGTAGCAACAGTGCCAAGCGAGGTCACCAACGTAGCAACAGTGCCAAGCGAGGTCACCAACGTAGCAACAGTGCCAAGAGGTCACCAACGTAGCTGCCACCATCATCCGGCCACAAGAACCTATGCCAACGGCGCGGATGACCTTCTGAGAACAGGTTACCGGACGCACGTGACAGAGCGTCGGGGGAGGCCAAGGAGGGGGTGGGGGTGGGGGGTATCACGCATTTTTCCGTCTGGTTTACGCTTTCTAGAGGTTATGCTTCGCTTAAATGGAGAGAGAGAAGGAGAGAGGGAGGGAGGAGCGAGAGAGGAAGGGAGGAGGACAAGAGAGAGAGAGAAGGGGAGGGAGGGAGGAGGAGGAGAGAGAGAGGAAGGGGGGGAGGACAAGAGAGAGAGAGGAAGGGGAGGGAGGAAGGAGGGGAGGGAGGGCAAGAGAGAGAGAGGAAGGGGGGAGAGGAGAGTGAGAGAGGAGGGAGGAAGGGGGATAGAGAGTGATGGTAAGAGAGAGAGGAGGG